CATATAATGTTTACCTTGATTTTGGACATCGACACCGAAAAAAAAGACTGAAATGTTTGTGCATATACTTCGTTAGTATTTGTGTACCATATAATGTATAGCTAGACTTTGGACAACTACCACAAAAATGAAAAGACTGAATATGTCTGCACAAACCCTGCTAAATAGACTTATTAAGAAGTGATATAGTTACGATACTGTTGTCAGGTCATTAAAGATTGCATATTTTGGCGTTAATATTGATTCACTTATAGGGTCTTTGCATCGGCACTAAACACATTTATTTAAAAACCAGTTGTTGGCATGACACGGGTTATGTTCTTCTCATATATGTTATGATGGTATGATACTAAACCCCTAACGGGAAGGATTGTGCCTGATATTCATATGATGAAGACATAATCTTTCAATCAGTTTAATTGAAGTCTGGAGCTGGCATGTCAGTTAACTGCTAGTAGTCTGTTGTTATTTATGTATTATTGTCATTTTGTTTATTTTCTTTGGTTACATCTTCTGATATCAGACTCGGACTTCTCTTGAACTGAATTTTAATGTGCGTATTGTTATGCGTTTACTTTTCTACATTGGCTAGAGGTATAGGGGGAGGGTTGAGATCTCATAAACATGTTTAACCCCGCCGCATTTTTGCGCCTGTCCCAAGTCAGGAGCCTCTAGCCTTTGTTAGTCTTGTATTATTTTTAATTTTAGTTTCTTGTGTACAATTTGGAGTTTAGTATGGCGTTCATTATCACTGAACTAGTATATATATTTGTTTAGGGGCCAGCTGAAGGACGCCTCCGGGTGCGGGAATTTCTCGCTACATTGAAGACCTGTTGGTGACCTTCTGCTGTTGTCTGTTCTATGGTCGGGTTGTTGTCTCTTTGACACATTCCCCATTTCCATTCTCAATTTTAGCTTTTGTGTACCGTATAATGTAAAGCTAGATGTTAGACAACTACCAAGGAAATGAAAGGACTGAATATGTCTGCATATATCTTGTTAGTCTTTGTGTACCATATAATGTATAGCTTGATTTTGGACACCAACGCCGAAATAGAAAACTACTTGAGAAACTTTACGGTTCATGCGTGATATATTTCCGCATATCCTATAACAGTATGTGTGTACTATATACTGTTTAACAAGGTACTGGACACCTAGCTTCTAGAAAAATAAAGAGCAATACTTCAGCATATACTTTGTTAGTAGTTGTGTCCTATATACTGTATCGCAAGAATGAAATACTTTGTTCTGCAAACCCTTGTTAGTATAGGTGTACTATATGATGTAAAGCCAGACTCTGGACACCTACCACGAAAATGAAAGGACTGAAATATTTCTTCATTTGTTTTGTAAGTCAAGGTGTACTATATGACGTGAAGCCAGATTCTGGATACTGATACTATTTCCTAAAAGAGGGACGAAAGATACCAGAGGGACAGTCAAACTCATAGATCGAAAACAAACTGACAACGCCATGGCCAAAAATAAAAAGACAAACAGACAAATAATAGTACAGATGACACAACATAGAAAACTAAAAACTAAGCAACACGAACCCCACCAAAAACTTGGGGTAATATCAGGTGCTCCTAGCTGCTAGGCTATCTACGTATTTTACATCCCTTGCTTTAAATATTTTGGTTTGATTATTCCTGAGGAAGATAAATCAAGAAAAGCGCTTCGGTTGATTGATTTATAAATATTTATAATCAATTAATCATTCACACCTCAATTTATTCTTACTTATCCTTTTGTTTGTGCCGTTGACTTACTCTTTCTACACTAGTCTATGTGTGTATATAACTCACAGAAGGTCACGTTGTTTACCGTAAAAACTGTTGCCTTGGATATATTTATTTTATAGCTAATTGAAGATTTATTTGATACTAGTATTCGACAGGAATAGTTAATAAAATAATTTAGTAGTTTATATTTTTTCTGATTTTATTGTAGGTTAAAGGTTCAAGCATAGGCGTCTGTATTTCCTTAGATATATAATTGAAATGGTATCATACTAGTCATAGATTATGAACAGTTAACGTTTAAAGTTTGAAAGATTTCAATACTTTTTATGACATCAATTACATGCATGTAAGCAAACATTTAACCGGTCTGTTAAATAATATTTGGTTTATATGTTAAACAATACAAGCCGTTCAGAACGAAATTACATTCCATAGTTAAATTGTAAATTATTAACATACTCGCTTTACATCTCGCATGTTCGATACTTACTGTTTCGGTACTTATACATCCCTCGGATTTCAAATGTTTGGCATTGAGCGTTCCTGATGATGGTAAATCCAGAAAAGCGCTTCGGACGCATGAAATTATTAAACGTGTTGTTTTCAATTTTTTACATCACTGGGTCGATACCTCTGCTGGTGGACTATCAGTCCCCGAGGGTATCATCAGCTCAGTAGTCAGTACTTCGGTACTGACATGATTTATAACAGAATTTTCTAAAATTGTCCGTTTATAAATTTTGAAATTATAAAGAAACTAAGGTTTCAACTCCCTCAGGTAAAGTTGACATTAGATGAATTTGGCTATTTGTTTTAGGTATTTTTGTCATATAGCTCTTCAACTGTTTCGGTACTTATACATCCCTCGGATTTCAAATGTTTGGCATTGAGCGTTCCTGATGAAGGTAAATCCAGAAAAGCGCTTCGGACGCATGAAATTATTAAACGTGTTGTTTTCAATTTTTTACATTTAACCATCCTGATATAGAAATATCGTAACCAACGGTTAACTCTAAATAGAAACTAAATCTATGTTTATATATCATCGTCTCTAATGAATGTTATTCCATAAAACAAGAAAATCGGTATCGTATGTTTTTTTACTTCCAATGCGTAGGCCACACTGCTGGTAAACTCTCGGTCTATGGGTAGCACACTGTGGGTGCAATGTTGGTCCCAAAGCGTACCATACGCCCTGTACCTTATAATTCAACATTTTTGCATTATTTAAAAGATACATTTTGTGTATAAATTTGTAGGTTTCAAATTACTTAATATTACTGAAACTACGATTGCATTTCAAAATGGAAACCCTCACCTCAACAGTTTTTTTGATTTGTTAAGAGTCTTTTCTGTTTCTAAGCTAGCAGATGTTTATAACTTTTGTCTATCCAAACTTCTTGTCCCGAACATATAAAGATCCGGACATACCGGTTGTGCGCATTGAAATGTGTATAATATTTTGAAGATCTGAGTTTGAGTAAATCATATTGTTTTTGTTTATACGAAAAACGGCTGCATTGTGTATAAATTATGATATTTTGATATTAAAATATCCTGGTTTATACTTGTTAGAGCCAAACAGATAAAGGACGATACAGTTTAAAACAAGTCACCTATCTAAGTCAGAGTTGCGTTGCTGTTCTGTTTAGACCTTGCTTTATTAAACTTCCTAAATAAAGACGAAAATACAAAAAAAGTTAATAAGAACGATTACGTTTTGTGTATACAAAAGTATTTTACGCATATAATGTTCTCCACAGGAAAAACGAACATGATAAATAATAAATGGCAAACCATAAATACAGTTTAAAATATATATTTTCCCACAATCATATTTAGTATACCCTTTTGTAGCTGGATACATATTGAAACGTTCTTTTGTCCTCGATTACTTGAATATGTTGCCTCGAGCGCTGGGCGCATTTTAACAAATCGCATTAGAATAGAATGATTATACTTCAAAAGTGTTACGTTTTTTAGCCCACAAATAGGTCCAATAATTTTGAAACAAATTTATGTGTAGACATAAATGAGATACTATTATACAAGCAAAATTAATTCGTCTTTCAAATATTGTTTTTACTAGTGAATACGTCTGAAAGTTATTGTGACAGTGAAACTTTGCAAAAGAAAATAACACTGTATCAATGTTATGCGTACAAAGCGTTTTTTGGATTTACCTTCATGGAACGTTTAAAGTAAAAAAATAAAAGTTAATCATGCGTAACTATAGTAACACGTGAAGAAATCTTGTTTCAGCAGTGAAACATAATTTAACAATTTTCCTTAATATCTTTCCTTTTAATAACTTACAATTCCCATATAAGCTTAGACAACCGGAAACTTTGTTAGCTTTGGAAAATCGCAAATGGAGTTCTCATTTGAAATCATTTTTTTTTTATCATTTTCATTCTTTTGAGGCACAATGGTATGCGTCAAGCCCTCTCTTTCACACGAATTTGCTTGAATCACTGCGTAATCAGATTGTCTATTCTAAAACAATAGTTGGTGCGTATTGTTTTGATATGATAATGATGACAACGTGCATTTTGATTCTGATTAATGAATCAAATAAATACTGCAATATATTCTGAAATGGTAACTCGTAACTTTTAGTAATGAAAATGACTGTAAACGTTCACTGAGTATAAAATGTTTAACAGAAAGATATGATAATTTATCTAACCAGTCTTACGCATGTTTAAATATGATATTGTTGTAGTATGATGAGAGACATTCCATAAAGCATTCTCTGTAAATAATAATGTGTAATACTGGAAATGATCCAATTGATTCTCACTTCAGAATGTGCAAAAATTAATGTTTTTATTGTTCCATCTGCATATCGAACATAACATGCAAACAACTAGCAATTGATTATCTGGACAACAGCTTTACTGTTTATTACTTCTGCTAAATTATAATGATTCATATACATTGAATTTCCACGTGATTGTTAAATTTTAATCAAGTGGTACGATCAAACAGTACACTATCCCATAAACATATTTGTATGATATTTGAACAGCTTGAATCGCTTAGACTCTGTGTTTTCTCTGTACTTTTGTCAACGCATTAATTGTGTAACGTAAAAAGCATTATATTATAAAAGGTACCATTAAAGAGTCATGTGTCGCCATAAATTCTGTTTCTATAGTTAATTGTGTTGAGATAAAGACCTTACGAAAGACGTTTTATCGACTTTCTCTGTATACACCATATATAAATGGAATGGTCAGTATCTTGCAGTTACAAGCATGCTGGCACCCAACACACAATAATAACAATAATGATAAAGTATTTGATTACGTTTTCCTTGATTTTGATCTGCGTCCATCATAATACTGGTGGTTTAGGTAAGTTTGCATATGTGTACTCTACAGTTTATGGTTTTTATAAGAATTCATCGACTGGTCAATCTTTTGTTTTATATTATATATTCAATTATTGTAGCAAAAATGTTTAACCCCGCCAAATTCTGTTTGTGCCTATCCCAAGTCAGGAGCCTGTAATTCAGTGGTTGTCGCTTGCTGCTGCATATCATATGTTTATTGTTTGAACATAAATCAGGCCGTTAGTTTTTTCGTTTGAATTATTTTATATTGTCATTACTGGGCAATGTATAGCTTACTGTGCGGTATAAGTTTTGCTAATTGTGAAAGGCCGTACGGTGAGCTATAGTTGCTTACTTCGACGTCATTTGTCTCTTGTGAAACATTGTCTCATTGGCAATCATACCACATCTTCTTATTTGTATATCTACAGCACAGTACAGTAAACTTCAGATACTTTTTTAGGATGATCTTGACAAATGATTAAAAATTTCGTAAATTAGCTTTTTAAACATCGTTTATCATTTTTGAGTGCTTTTGTTCTTATAATACTTTTTCAAAACATTCATTTATATTACTCTCAGTTCGTAAATGGACATTTATATTTCATGTCTTCTAATGTATTTACAAAAAATATGGATTTAAGAAATAAAAATATATATATACATTACAGCAATGTAATTTTAATGCAATTAAACATGATTTGAAGATAGATTAAGAAATGAATATGTCATCATTAAATGTATGTAAAATAAATAAAAGGAACTGTCTTTTATGTGTAATTAGAAGGTAACACAACGAAATAAATACCTACATCAAAAATATATCTCGATTTCAGTATACATATTAAGTGTTTTAACTTTTTGTTCCATTCTAAAAATAAGTTCTTACTGCACATTTATTATACAAAAAAAAACTGGGAGATGACAAGGGAACATTCAAAATTCATAAGTCGAAGTGAAACTGAAAACGCCGTGTCAAAAACCAAAAGGCGATGAAATGACAAACAAGCCCACAAAACACTATACACATGTGGAGCAGGATCTGCTTACCTTTCTGGAGCACCTGAGATCACCCCCAGTTTTTGGTCCAGGTTCGTGTTGCTCAGTCTTTCGTTTTCTATATTGTGTTTTGTGTACTATTGTTTGTCTGTTGGTCTTTTTCTTTTTTAGCCATGGCGTTGTCAGTTTATTTTCGACTTTGAATGTCCCTTTGGTATCTTTCGCCTCTGTTTTACACAGAAAACTAAAGACTGAGCAATACAAATCCCACCAAAAACTGTGATGTCATGTGCACTGGAAGTGTTAGAAGATTCAGCTCCACTAGTAGAAACCGTTAGGTTGTAAATGATTAGTACTTATTGTGACAAGTCTCAATCGTTCATGTCAAATTCAAGGAAATGAGGTTTGAATTGTGGTTTCGACAATTGGACTGTATAAAGCGTACTTACAGAAATTGGTGGTATTCGTTCATTGATCAAATCTAAGGCAATTTAATATTACAAACATGAAAACTAAATGCTAACTATACATATTTTATTTGTTAAATAAAAATAAACTATTGAAAAATAAAAGTTATTCAAAATTAACAGAAACTTCATGACTTATTCAAATAATAATATGTGTGGCTTTGTTTGCACGTTTATATTTCATAGGAGTCGGGTGCTGTTATGTGTTTTACTGTCCAACATTTGTTCTATAATTGGTATCATTTGTATGTATTTCTATAGAATATTAGTACATTTATCTATTATTTCAGCTGTATATAAACGAAGTATGAATCCCGACTGCAGCATAGAAATCCAAAAGGACTGCAAAGATAGAGGATATGATGTTATTAACGATGAAAAAAATTCATGTGTGTGTGTCATTACAAAAGATGGTGAGTACCTGTTTCAATTAATCGAGTACTTGTTGAAACCCATCCCCGCTTTTTTTGCATTGTTGTATATTTTATACGTATTAAAAGGGTCAACAATGTGTTAAATGATAAAGATAAATCAATATAATCATATTATAAACAATAATAACAATAAAAAAAATATAAACGCCGGCATAGATGCACAAACCTGAAAACCTTCCTGGGCAAGCTTTGCAAATAAGCAGTTAAATTTAACTTATGAGTCATGATTTAGGAAGTTTTTTGCTTAAATTCATAATAAAAACATTTTCATCAATGAAGCCTTTTTAAATGAATAATGTTAAATATATTATGAAAATTTGTGTGTTTAAAATTAAACTCATTGTTTGTGTGTGCTTGATTTTAGTAACACAAAGCTTAAAATAAACTGCACTATTTGGTGGCGGAAGTTTTCTCGAAAATAAGACAATAGTTATCAATTATACACCAAATAGTTAATGTTGAAACAATGTAAAACCTCTTCGTCTTTGTCAACAATTGTAATTATGTGTGTAAATTTGGTAACGACACGACATTTATTTTGAATATCAATTTTGAAGTTGGGGGGAAGATTTTTTCAGATGAAATAAACAATATTTTCGTCGATATGTTTTATTTACCTTGCCATTTTGTTTTCATTGGCCAAAGTCATATGTAGAAGTTGTCAATGAATTTCTATGACAAGAGGTCTGACGAAATTTTCTGGTTTGTCTTCATCTTTTCTCTTGTCCTTTAGTTCTAATGACCTTGGTGTCTCTCCTTCTGTTTGCTTTTGCTTTTTGGATACAGTAAAACGTGCCTTCGTATGTGCTTCTTGCTATTTTTCAAAGATGTTTTATTCATTATGTTTTTGCATTTTTTTACGAGTTCAGCATCTTTCATTTTTATGCATAGCTCTGTTTTTCATTTTATTTATACAGTCCATATGATTCATTTGAATATTTTATATTTAATGATTTTTTTTACCTTATTTTTTATTGACAAATTATTTACAAGGTCATGATGACGTCCTTAGAAAATTCATTCGTCTGAAATTGTAATAAATGTTATGTGTTTGCAGACAATGGTCGAATTAACACGAAGATTTGTATCGGTAATATGAGAAAATTATCGATAATCCCTTCCCACTTAACTTGTATCTATGAATAAAAAACTTGTCCTTTTTGAAAAACCGGATGATCATTCACTCTTTTTTATACCCGAATCGCATAAGTGCCCTTTAAACATATATTACTGGGTCTTCCAGGTGCTCCTTTCATACGCAAATTGAAAAGGGGCATCGGGATTGTATTTGAATTATCTCCTCATATTGATATATTGATATATTGAAAACATTAATTTCGTACATTTCATTATTTTTCTCTTCCACAAGTCAGTATAATGTTTTCCTTTGTCAACCTCTGCTTTACCTCAAATTTGTCTGCTATCATTGTTCCGTTTATCTTAAATAGTTTTTGTTCAAATTATTTGTTTAATTTCAGATGAAAGGAGATGAACATTAATCAGGATAAGGAAAGACCATGAAGAAGAAACGATAGTTTTGTATGACTGTTCTGATTGTGTGAATATATATGCCTCTGTATCGTTGCTCAATATCTCTTTCATGTACTTTTTGGTTTCTAGTTTTATGTGCATAATACGAAATTAATGAGTTGTGAATATACGTCAATGAGACAGCAGCTGCAGGGCCACGATAAACATTTTCAATGTTCATTAATAGGTCAAATAAGTCTTTCAGTAAACAGACGTTTATACAATATGTGAAGCTCTAAATTGCAGTGACTTCATTAAACTGTGCAAAATTTTAACAGAAACTATCAAAGAAAAGCACAAGATATCAAAGTAATATTCAAATGCAATACTCATAAGTCGAAAACAAACTGACAATGTCATGGCAAATAAAAAAACGACAAAAAGACAAACAACAGTACACAAAACACAACATAAAAAACTAACGATGTTGCAACACAAACCCAACCATACGCGGGAAGGGTGAGTTATATCAAATACTATATACCCAAAACAAGATCAAAGACTATCACAAGAGCCAATGACTACAAAGGTACAAACATATGAACAGGTACATGAATATTTGGCGAAGTTGATTGCATACTTGTCATCTGAACCCTCTCTCGTTTAATCGTGATCAGTGACATAATACAAATTTGAAAAAGAATATATTTTAGTACAGATTCTTACTGGAACAGCTACTTCAGAGGCGTAGTTTCCCTTGAGGCAATGAGGCTACTGCCTCACTACTTTTTTTACAAAGAAAAAACATAAGGAAGATAAAATGTACAATTTGTATTTCGTAGGATGGTTCTAAGTATTTCACTTCTCTACAAGTTACACAAGTATTTCTACTTCTAAACTAAGACCAATAGGAAGAATTTGTTCAATTATTTTAATAAAAGACTCAAAGTAGATACAAATATTCTGTTTTAGAAAGGGACATATACCTAATAAATAAAAAAAAATAACAATAAAAGAACAGAGTTCCAATGTCCCCCGCGGTGCACATATTTTATCTATCCAAGGTACAAGGGCAATAACAAAATAAAACACTTTTTTTTTTGTTCTTTAAAACAATTTATAAATATCTTAAAGAAATAAAGGCTTCAGAGCAAATGCAATGCGATTTCCGTTATAATCAGTTTTTCCAAGGGGCTTAACTCGTTAAAAATAGTTGTTCAGCACTGATTTTCGAAAGTGTCAAAGACATTGCTGATATGAACCTATGATATAAGTGTCATCAAATTCTGGCAAGAATTGTACACATGAGTGCACTAACAACGCAATTTTCCATAAAATCAATATATCCAAGGGACATAACTCTTTTAAAATTATTTTATCGGCACTAATTTTTTAATTTGTTTGAGACAATGATGATATAAAACTGTACTGTAAATTTCATAAAACTCTGTTAAGAATTGTACACAAGAGAGTGCTAACGATGCCATTTTTCTAAGGGGCATAACTCTTTTAAAAATAATTGTTCGGCACTGAATTTCGAACTTATCCCAGACATGTCAATATAAACCTATAATATAAGTTTCATAAAAATCTGGCAAGAATTGTACACATCAGAGCGCTAACAATGCAATTTTCCATATAATTAATGTTTCCAAGGGGAATAACGCTTTTAAAAATGATTGATTAGCACTGACTTTCGAACTCGTCCAAGACATAGCTGAAATAAGCAAATGATATAAGTTTCATAAAAATCTGGCATGTGAGAGCGCTAGTAGGTCGGACAGACGGACGGCCTGCCAATATTTCCATGTCCACCGAAACGCGTTTACGGGGGACAAAAGTACTGAACTCCAAGGTAAAAAGGGGGAAGTGCATAAGAACTGACAAAACCGAACGTTGGACTTTCACTTGGTCTGTTCGGGCCGGTTTTCTTTTCGACATGATGTTTTCTGTTTTTCTTCGACTGAGAGTTTTTGATAGCCTCATGGTATCGTCTCTTTTTTTTTTATTTCTGTCACTGGACTCTGTGTTCCCCTAGTACTTAACTCCAGTAAACAGCTAACGCAATCATTCTTTTAGAAAGACAAATACGAAGCCAGGTCTTACTGGAAGTGTATGGCAAGCCAAAAGTTTAAAAAGGAAATTTGGATAGGAATCAACATGAAAGATGGAAATCGTGATTGCAATTGCATAGTTGAGATGTATGCCTTTTGTTAAAGTTTGAAAAGTTCTCGTAAATATATTATTTTTTTTACAACTGCAAATTTTTTTATTTTTTTTTCATGATACAATTATAAGTCAATATATTAATTTCTACCCAGTATTAATAAAATGCTTCGCCGAGCGCGGCCTGATACGATCGCAGATGTCGAACCGTGAACAGTTAGGGCAAGTTTGGACACAATATTCAAGCTTGATACTGACTGAATTTGGATTGTGATCAAATTTTTGACATAATACAGGTTTCTGACACAAAATAAATGTGGTTAAAGATCTTAGAAATTTGAAATGGGACAATTAATCTACGGTCTGATATCTAAAATCTAACAACATGGTTAGATTCAGCATATAAAAAAACACCAAAAGTTTAATTTTAGTTGAAATCAAACAAAGTTTAATTTTGGACCCTTCAAACCGTAATATGGACTAATTTGAAAACAGGGCAAAAATAATAAATCTAAATGCACAATAAGATTCAGCATATCATAGAGCCGCAATAATTCAGTTTTTGATGAAATCAAACAAAGTTTAAGTTTTGACCCTTTGGACCTCAATGTAGACCAATTTAAAAATGGGGATCAATTTCTAAAATAGTAATACAAGGTTAGAAACCCCAAAAATTAAAGACTTTAAATTAATCCCATTGAAATTGGTTAAAAGATTTGTATTTATTTTCAATTGAAGATTTTTGCTATTGCGCAATACTGTGCTATTGCGCAAAACTGTGCTATTGCGCAATACTGTACTATTGCGCAATTATGTGCTGTTGCACAATACTTAGTTAATTTGTTATATATAATAATTTACACACCCTGTTTGGTGTATCTCCTGCCATATCAGTTTTTGTTGCTTTTATATATAAATCAGAAATAATCAATGTAAAATTGAAAATTTTTGAAAAAAAAATCCACCACAAAAATGTGTCCCCCTCCCTCCCCCGTTCACAAGGCTATTTTTCTGGAGCCGATAGAATAGCACCTAAGAGGCTATTTTGCCAAAACCGGCAAAGTAGCCACTGCAAATTATAAATACACAGTCATATTGACCTTCTGGCAGAATTAGAAATAACATTTAGAAAAGAGGGACGAAAGATACCAGAGGGACAGTCAAACTCATAGATCGAAAACAAACTGACAACGCCATGGCCAAAAATAAAAAGACAAACAGACAAATAATAGTACAGATGACACAACATAGAAAACTAAAGACTAAGCGACACGAACCCCACCAAAAACTAGGGGTGATCTCAGGTGCTCCGGAAGGGTAAGCAGATCCTGCTCCACATGTGGAACCCGTCGTGTTGTTTATGTTATTACAAATCCGGTAAATAGTCTAATTCGGTAAGTCACATTCGTGAAAAGGGAAGGATATTGTAGTTACGACATAAGGAACATATCCGATATCATCTGTGAAACGGTTATTCCATAACGGTCAACCAACTCGTGATGGCGTCTGTAAAATTTACGAAGGGATGATTTCAACTTCACCATTTGGAACTCTTGGCTTAATAGCTTCCTTGTGAGCAGCAATCCTCTATCAAGGAAATCATGATAGGAAACACAAGCCCGGGAATATCGTATCAATTGGGAGATATATACTCCGTATGCAGGCGCTGCTGGAATGTTGCTACATAGAAATGGAAAGTTCACAATTGGGAAGCTGAAATCATCTCTTTTGTCGTAAAGTTTTGTTTTCAACCGACCCTCATTGTCAATTTCTAAATGTAAGTCAAGATATGAGGCAGACTTAACTGTATCTGTAGTATCCTTTATCTCTAGTTCGATGGGATAGATTCGTTCAACATAGTCACCAAATTTTGTATTATTTAGTGAGAGAACATCATCTATATAGCGGAACGTAGAGTTAAAGGATATTGCTAACTTCTTATCTTTCTTCCTAAGAAGTTCCTGTATGAAGTCAGCCTCATAATAATAAAGAAACAAGTCGGCAAGAAGAGGGGAACAATTGATTCCCATTGGAATTCCGACAGTCTGTTGAAAAACACGTCCTCCAAACGTAACAAATATGTTGTCAATCAAGAAATCAAGCATCTTGATAATGTCAGTTTCAGAGATTTTTTTGTTTGAATCAGTCTTGAGAGTGATTCTTTACAAAGTAGGATTTATCCCTCCCCAAGACAAGATACTTGTATCTACGTTCGCCATTCTTTTTAATGAAACAAAGTAATACCAACTCTTTCAATTTGTCTTTTAGTTTGGAATGGGGAATACTTGTGTAAAGTGTAGAAAAGTCAAATGTTTTAAATCTATTGCAAGATGAGAGAGTCTTAGATTGTATGTACTCTAAAAGAACTTTGGAATTTTTTAGTATCCACATCTGATTCACGCCACCTCTAGAATAGGCAGTTTTACAATAAGTAAAGTGCCAGGCTTTGATTGCTGATAAAATAGAAGAGGGACGAAAGATACCAGAGGGACAGTCAAACTCATAGATCGAAAACAAACTGACAACGCCATTGCCAAAAGTAAAATGACAAACAGACAAATAATAGTACAGATGACACAACATAGAAAACTAAAGACTAAGCAACACGAACCCCACCTAAAACTAGGGGTGATCTCAGGTGCTCCGGAAGGGTAAGCAGATCCTACTCCACATGTGGAACCCGTCGTGTTGTTTATGTTATTACAAATCCAGTAAATAGTCTAATTCGGTAAGTCACATTCGTGAAAAGGGAAGGATATTGTAGTTACGACATAAGGAACATATCCGATATCATCTGTGAAACGGTTATTCCATAACGGTCAACCAACTCGTGATGGCGTCCGTAAAATTTACGAATTGATGAATTCAACTTCACCATTTGGAACTCTTGGCTTAATAGCTTCCTTGTGAACAGCAATCCTCTATCAAGGAAATCATGATAGGAAACACAAGCCCGGGAATATCGTATC